ACTTCGTGATTGTGATCGGTCTCTCGTAGTCCAGGATGGGTTGAATTTTCTCGGGAATGAACTTCATCCTGTTGCGAGATAGGAAATATCCAAGAATATTTTTAGCTGTGGAACTCCAAAACGGGATTTTTTCCAAATTAATGGTTAGGTTGGCTTTGCTAAGACAGTCGGCCACCTCTTTAAGCAACTGTACGTGGTGCTCGAAGGTTTCGCTGACGATGATTATATCATCAAGATAAACGAAGACGAAGGACTCCAGCTTTCCACGACCTAGCACTTGGTCCATTAACCTGGCTGGCCCGAATGGCAGTCGGGTAAACTGGAACATACTTCGACTGAAGGCCGTATACTTCCGACAGTCCTTAGCCAATGTGACCTGGAGGAAAGCCTCCTTTAAATCAACAGTTGATAGGAGCCTGGGTTTTGGCAGACTGTCCAGTATACGACCTGGATGCGGGAGCGGATATGCATCACGTACTGTGCGCTCGTTGAGAGGTCTTGCGTCTAAGCAAAGGTGAATAGAGTCATCAGGTTTTGTCACGGCGACTATATTCAGTGACTAATCTAAATCCGACTCTTCTATGATTCCCATCGAACACCGTCTGTATACCTCACTCCATACCTTCGCTAATTTATGTGGACTCATCTTATAGGGATACCGAAGTACTGGATCCTTACCTTGGAATTCTTCCTTTATTATAATATTGTGCTCAGTTAATGTGGTGGTATTCAATCTACCCGGTGTAACGCCCTGAAAGAGGGCCTTTACTTCTTCTATTCTTCTATATTCATCATCCATAACCTGATCAACACAGGGATTTACCAGAGCCTAGTCATGTAATTCCGGAGTAATTCCGAAGGTTCGCCAAAAGTCCATTCCCAACAGACAGTTCACACTTTAATTTTCGACCACTAGAGTACAGACGACCTTTGTCTTGCCTGAAACTGCATTGAATTTGGTGTTAGCAAAGTGGAAAGACAACTTGGAGCATAAAGATACGATTGTTGCTGTTTTTTTGGATCTGAAACGCGCTTTTGAAACAATTTCTAGGCCCTTTGGAATTACGAGTACTGCATATAAATGGTTTGAAAGCCATTTGTCTGACAGAACTCAAAGGACTGTTTTTAATGATTCTGTTTCCAGTCCCGTGGGGAACAACCTTGGAGTGCCCTAGGGAAGTGTATTAGGGCCCCTTTTATTTATTATGTATATTAATGAATTGCGACGTGTTTTACGGTTTTGCGACATTAATCTTTTTGCAGATGATACTGTGTTATTCATTGCAGCTAAGGATTTAGAAGTTTCCGTCTCACACTTGAATTAAGATTTGCAGTATCTAAGTAGATGGTTGAAGTGTAAGCAGTTAAAATTGAATACAAGTAAAACTAAATTTATGGTAATTTCGCCGAATCGATTAAATGAGAACGTCTCTGTTGTAATTGATGATGAGACTATTGATCGCGTTCAGAAGATTAAATATCTTGGCGTGATTATTGATGACAAACTTAAGTTCAACTCTCACATTGACAATGTCATCAAGAAAATTGCCAAGAAGTATGGAATTCTATGTCGATTGAAAAACGATTTAACTATTGCCAGTAAAATACAGCTATACGAATCAATCATCTCTCCTCATCTAGACTTTTGCCCTTCCATTTTATTTCTGGCCAATGCAACACAAATATCGAGATTACAGCGCTTGCAGAATAAAATAATGCGTTTGATTTTGAGATGTAATAGATTCACTTCCTCAACTTTGATGTTAGACGCCTTACAATGGTTGTCGGTGAAGCAAAGAATTGTATATTTGACTATGGTGTTCATTTTTAAAGTAGTTGACGGTTTGCTGCCTCGATATTTGTGTGATCGAATTGAAAGAGGAAGTGACTATCATAGATATAATACTAGAAACGCGGTTGAAATAAGAACACCACGTTTCTTGACTTGTGCTTCACAAAATTCATTATATTATAAAGGAATAAATGTTTTCAATTCGATGCCTAGACATATCAAACGTTCAGCAACACTTACCGAATTTAAAAGACACTGCATTTCACACGTTAAAACTGTCTTTTGAACAGCTATCCAGTGATTTTTTTTTTATGAACTGACAAATTATGTATCTTGACGGAGATATCTCTAACGGATTATTTTATATGGATAGCTGTTATAACGACTTTTTAATATTAATATATTTCCTTATTGTAGCACTGAAAAAACTATTTTGTTCGCCACGATGGTTATGATGGATTTTTGATATTTGATTTAATAGTAGTAGTAAAAAATAGTAGTCTACAAAGGTTTGAGCCTCGTGCGCATATTACGGATATAGAGGACTGAATTTAACATTTGATAAAAAAAAAAATATGAAATTTTGAAGCTTATTTGGAAGATACCTTGAGTTAGTAGTTAGTTTTCTGGAAAATGTTGGGGGTTAGTGATCATTCCTGACATTGCTGAAAATTATGATAGCATCAGATTGCGGGGTTACTAGTGTAATAGGATGCTTTGTTGATTGTTCATTAACTCTAGATTGCTTGTAATACTTATGAATATTTTAGGTGGACAAAAAGGCGAACTAAGAGGTGGACGCCTGAGCTTTTCCACATTTATATCGCTGTGAAGCAACTGTAAACTCTAGAGGGAATTTATATCTGTAACTGAAACCAGTTCGATTTTGTTTGCCAACCTGGTTAAAATGTCATATTTAATTATCTTAAAGATAAATCGTCCAGCTCAAACCTTTGTAGGGGTAAGAGGTGGGACCATCATCATCATCATCATCAAATCGACTTCCAAGCAGATTACTATAAGAATCTGAAAGATCGAAGAGGAAATTTCCAAATCCATATCCAAGCAGGATTACCTTGGGTAGGGTTCAAACAAGGATCGAAGAGGAATAAGAGTCGAACAAAGTAGACAATTTGCTTGTATATTGAGCACTGAAAAGTGCTGTTTAAATTTGTTGTAGCTTAAGGTAGTAGTAACACTTCCTTCAGCAAAAAGCAAATAGATCCGCACGGCAAGAGAGCACGATGCGGACTGATCGCCCTGCTAGTGACCATGCTGACCTAATGATCCAGCATCTGATTATCTTACTTCATTCGGGAGTTCTTTGCTGATTATCTTAACATGAATTTAAATTTAGATCAATGCTCACACTTAGAAATGATTACCGAACAATCAACAGCTGAACTGTGCGGTAAAAACAGGCTTTTTAATTCATTTGTTTTAAAGCTTAAAAATAAGGCAAACTTCACTAAAATGCCAAGGCACGATTATTTAAACAAGGCTGACAGTGTTTTGAATTTGAATTGTAGTAAAATTGCTTTTGAAAGTTCGCTAAAAAATTACCGAAGTCGATAATAAGTTCTACGTTTCAATTGATGATAGACAAATATTCAACTACGACTCCTCTAGAGTCAAGCGAAAGTGACCTTGAGCCGTGAAAAAACGTATCATTGTCGGATCGTACTCTGTCCGTGTGTTCTACATATTTATCGCTGCCTGTGCTGTACACCAAGCCCATTATTGGTCGGAAAAGGATGAAAGCTCTGATATTGTTGAACTGCCGAACTATTAATTATAGTCACGAATCCTGGCAGTCAATGGACGTGTGTGTACTTTCACTCCGAAAAAAAAAAAATCTCCATTGAACATCCAACATCCAATCGTCCGATACAGCCACACCAAGAAGAAGCGACCAAAAGAGTACTCCATTTGAAGCTCGGAAAAGTTGATGACCAAGCAGACCAGTTTTGGTGAAATCATTCCATTTGTATCTATAAATAAGGAATTTGATGTACATTGGAGGCATTTGGTGAGATCCTTCAATTATACTATATTATATAAACCATTAATTCCATCACCTATGATTGTTAAATTCACTCTTGCATAACTCAGAGCGTTTGGTACGGTATTTCCACGTAGCGCTGCTTAAATATATTTATTCAAACTAGAATCATTTCACAGAATCATCTTTGCGGCAAATGCAACGCAATAGGCCTGGCCGTTTTGATGTTTGTGTAACATCTCAGATATGCTGCAAACACCAATGTTGACAAGACAAATGATTAGGCGTTATCTAACCTAATCATTTTCCATTGCGTTTGTATAAGATTTGATTAGATTAGATTAGAAGTCGGTACTAATTTCTAAGTGTGTTCAATAGAAGATTTGAAACGCGTGAGTGGGCGACGTGGGTTTGATAGCTCTATCGAAAAACAAAAAAATAAAATCAAAATAAAGTATGATCCATTTTTCTGAGCTCATGCCACCCCAGCAAAATAAATCAAGGTTGCAAATACTCATTTCAGCTAAAATAATGTTTTTCGGAATAATAAAACCAAAAGATGGTATGATGACATGTTTTACTTATATGTTACAAGAAGTGGTTACAAATTATGCGTTTGAAACATAAAACCTGTAAATTTTGCTTTCTATGAGTCACAATCAGCGATTTGCTGATCGCTGAGTGAGTGAGTGAGTGTGTGAAAAATCGCTGATTGTGACTCTGATGAAGTGAAATAAACAGGTTTAATATGCCAAACACATTCTTTGCAAGCTCTTCTTGTATCTTACCAATTCAAAATATGATCATAGCATCTAATTATTTCATAATTAAAAAAAAAACATTGTTTTAGCTGAAATGAGTATTTGCAACCTTAAAATAAATTACCAAAACTGCTCTAGATATGCTAAATCGATTGCTAAATAATTAATGCCAGTTGTTCATATCTTGATGGAGACTTTTCGTAACAAAGTTTATAAAACCATCTCAAGAAGTATACCATAATTTGGGAGGAATGGAACGACGAAATCATTTTCAGATTAGCTTTCAGATGTTCAATTCCCACCATCTACATTGTTTGACATTGTTTATCTTCCATTTGGGCCCAAATGTATGCAACTAGATCTAAACCGCCTTAACTAGACAATTATCTGAAAATCTACAGTGTCCCACCGAAACCATTTTCAATATATCAATAAATGCAATTACCGCGCTGATTTGCTGGGTCCTGAGCAGGTACATTCCAAACACTGACACAATGGCGATGTACTTCCACATGGTGGCGCTGTGCAGTCTTTGTCCCAGTTTCACGGTCACGTTCCAACGAAATGAATATTTGAGTTGAGTTCCTTCTGCTTCTTCTTTTCTCTCTCTCTTTCACCGGTTGACTTTAACGATTTTCCACGGGGTAAACTTCCTCCCAACAGTCGCCACACTTTGATCCTAGCCGAATGCACTATATCATTAACGTTTTCTTCGCCTGTAAGCGCAAACAGGAAGTTCGCAGTTAAATTGAACTAACACACGTTCCAAATTCCTATTCGTTTTGTGCAAATTCACTTTGGTTCCTCATGTGGTCTTATGTACAAACAACTCCGCGCAATAAATTTATGTAATAATTAAACTTCAACTTTAAAGTATTTTCTATTCGCTGGATGATGCTTCTTCGGTACTCAATCTTCACACTAGTTTTTTTTTTCAGCGTTTGGTTTCAGTTCCCGTCGTCTCAGCAGCCGCAACAACAATACCACAACAACAGCACGAACAATTATGCTTTTGTGCGTTGCTGCCTGTTTCTGCTTCCACCGATTAAGATTATCTTTTCGTGCGGTGCGATCCAATCAGCATCTCATTTGCACAATTTTCATCTTCAGATAGGCACACTCACACCCAGCGTCAGTCTTCTCTTCCGATGTCAATCAGCTGCCTCACTCACTTTTAGACCACAATTGCCGCCGCCGTCGTCTGCTGAACTAAAAGAGTCCACCACTTAGCACAATGGTCAATGTAATTTTTCCTCCCAGTCACACACCCCAATAACAAGGCTGGTCCGACTGATTGATTGATTGATTGATGAGCTGCTCCCGTTCGATGAAACGTAACACTCTCGATGCAAACCTCACTCCAATGTTGATGGTTCAGATTCTTTTGAGATCGGATGATGCGCGAATATCAACAAGCGAGCATAAAACCAACCCCGGCGAGATTAGCAGATCAAATGAACATGCAGCTCGGTACGGTGGAGGGATTTATACATTAACACCCCACTGACTAACGGACTGACTAGCAGCACAGGGAGGGTTTCGCTCGGGTCGGTAGGCTCCCACGCGCACGATGGAGATTTTCCGCCGAATGAATAATTCGGGGGGGGGGGGGGTGAATCCGGCAAAGCCGGCATTGTTTGCCTTGCCTCCCGTTCGGAGATTTTTGGCAACGGCCGCCGCCGCGCGTTCGTTGGAAAATTCGTAAACTGTTCAAGGTCGTCGATGCGATGCGATGACATTTGCAGCGCCAAATCGGATCGCTGTCATCCAGCTGAAGAAATGGGATTGCCGCGTGTGTGGATGGGAAAATTGGTGCCTGGGATTGCCTTTCTCGAATACCTGCTTCTTCTTTTGGTATTATTACGTCTCTACTGGTACTTTACCTCAACTTAGTGTTATTTTAACACTTCCACAGTTGCTATTTGAGCGCTTTTTAAGCCTGTACCATTTTTGCATTAGTGTTATTGTGCACTAATGCAAAAGAACGTAAGAATTACATAAGAACCACTTATTAATTTTAGTCATAAGAAATCGGTATAAATTTCACACGTGCCCCGTAAGCTCAACGTCCATGGTTCGGTTTCAGTCTGATCCGATTTATTATTTGTTTGTTAGCATTATTTTTTATAAGGCAAATCAATTAAATCCATACTGATTTTTTGTGGCTAAAATTCATAAGGGTTTCTTATGGAATTCATACGTTCTTTTGCCTGTGTGCATGTGTCGTTCATAAGTCGAGCCTTATGCAATTATTAAGTTTATTTGCCTCAGTGAGGGCAGTCGAGAACATTTTTTCATCCCGAGAAATTCCAAGACCGGAACATGAATCGAACCCTGCCGCCTCCAGTATGGTCTGGCTTTAAGCTGTGCCTTTACCGACTGAGCTAAAAAATGCCCTAACCTAGAGATCCTGAAATGCTAAATTAAGCTCTGGTACTATCTTCGGTTCCAAGCTAATCGATGCACCCTCGAAACATAGGATAATCTACGAACTCCTCATTTTATCTTTCAAACTTTAATAGCGAATCAAAACAAACATTGTGTAATACTAGAATTTCGACTAGAATGGGGTACGTTTATAGATTTACTTGGGATCAATAGGCTAGTCAAGTAGTGAGCTAATTTAAAATCGTTAGTTTCCACCGGTTGGTAGGACCGCGGTTGGTCGGTATAATTGTTTTGCGCTTAGTACTTTTATTTGTTTAAAATCTATACACTTAAAATGCCGCGGGGAACACCAAGTTTTCTTCTTTCCCGGAGAGAACAGGGGGCACCCATCGGTTAGCGCGGTGACGATTTTCCTAATTTGCGATGAGCCGGATCTTTATCCGTTTGCCACTCAACATCCACATTTTTGTCTACGCGGATGACGTGCTAATTGTGGCAGGGGGTAACTCACTCTGCCACCTTGTCACTGTGCTGATTGTTTTTCTTGTGTGTTTTTGGGGTTTTCAGGGTGTTTCTGTGTCGAACAAGCTGTCAAAACGCCAAGTGCAACATACAATGTTTACTGGCAACCATGCTCAGTGTTGCCAGATATACTGATTTATCGGTGTTTATACCGATTTCCAAACTAGATACCGATACACAGATAAGGTTCCTCAGAATACCGATTTTTAAGATTTTATACAGATTTAAACTGTTTTTTTAAATAATCAAAATTATTATTGCCTGCCCGTGCTCGAATTTCGGAGACAATTTTTGTGAGAGACTTGTATCTTTTTGAATACCTCATATTTTTTGAGCCTTCAGAATTCTAAACAATCATCTCTAAAGATGCCTTATCTTTCGGCTAATGTTTGCATTTCCTCACTTTTTTTTCTTTTTGATTGTTTTCCGTCGATCTTGTTTTCCGTGCTGAGCACCAATGCTATCGACGCCAGGGAGGCAGCTCCCGTTCCTGAACCCTACGTATCGACCCATCAACTCATGAACCGGGGGCCAACGGCTTTACTTCCCTTACTCTACTTCGTGATCAGAGATGTTATGCCTCAGAACATCCCTGCGGCGCCGACTGGAATTGAACCCAGGCTTGCTGGGGTGAGAGTAATCACGCTTTCCACTACACCACCGGCACCGCTTACATTTCCTCACTTTACTACCCATCAATCGAGAAATAGTCGATGGCTCTTTCCGGTCATTCCTAGGGAATCGAGAAAGATATTTTAAACATTATTTAACTTCCGGGAGTTTTTATTCATTTTTAAATTTCCTTGAAGCTTCTTCAGCTTTTGCTCGATTGATTCTTTCATCTTCTCCCGCCAGTGTTTTCAACCTTCCTGGAACTCCAAGGATGCTATCAGATTTTTATTGCGGATCCAAACTAGCTGCAGGAACATTTAAGAAGTTCTGAAACTTCAGAAAAGTTAAGACTTTTGTGTAAGTTTCGATAAATTAAAGACAGTTTCATTAACATCTGTTTAAATTCGAAAACGCGGAAAATTCATAAAAGTCCAGCGAACTCCAGTGAACTTAAGGAAACATCATCAATATTTTGGAAACTTCACAAGTCCAAAGAACTTCAGGTAAATTCAATGGTTTTCAGGAACTTAAGTTTAGCTCAGAGAGCATCAGGACAGATCAATTAATTTCAATGAAATTGCTGACATTATAAAGGAGTTCCGAGAAACTCAGGCAATTTCCGAAAACTTCAGCAATGTCAATGCAAATTTAGGAAACGTAAGGGAAGTTACATGAACATCAGATCATTGTGAGAACATTTTATGGGAATTTTGTGAAAGCACTTAAGAGATTTCGTAATCTTCAAGAAAGTCCAGAGACCTTCTAAGATGATTAGATATATTCCGGTAGTCTTATTATAATCAGAGAAGTTCCGAGCGCTTCGATTATGACCAGAGAACCCCAAAACAGCCCCTAATTTAAGGAAAATTACAAGAACTTTTAAGGAATTTCTAGGAATTATGAACTATTCCTAAGTGCATTTCAAGAATTTTCCGAAAGCTTCAGGGAAATTTCGGAGTCTTCAGGGATGTATTTTTTAAAAATCAGGAAAATTTTCTGGATCATTAGAACATTCCCCAGGAATCTCATTCTTCCGGAATCATGTCCTTGTTTCTTTCGACTGTTCCGTAAGCGCTCTGGCTTCCGACTTTCTTCAGATGTTTCTTCCAATCTACCTTAGGATGTTTCTGTCAGCGTCTCCAGGAAGTTTATTTCGTTTTCTCAAGGAAGTTCAATTAATTCTCCCAGAAATTTCTTTCGTCTTCTTCTGGAAGTTTGACCCTAAGTCAAAGGTTGTTTTGTTCAACTTCTATTGGAAGGTTCTTCCGAGCTTCTTCTGGCTTTCCCTGGAAATGGCTACTTCTGGTTTTCGAAAGTTTTCTGGCTTCCTTTGGATGTGACACCCGATTTTTTTTCGATAGTTTATTTAAATTTTCGCCACAAGTTTCTCAATTCGTGTCTTGGAAGTTTCTCGGAGATGTTTCCAGCTTTCAGAGCTTCTTTCGTCTTCTCTGGATGTTTTTCAGCTCCATTCAGAAACTAATTCAAACATTCCCCGGAGTTCTCTTTCGGAATTTTCCGATCATAGTTCAAAAGCTAAAATTTTGCTTTGATTAACGGCTTTCTCACTCTTAAAACAATGCAACGACTACGATGCAATCTGCCCGAAATTTCAGCCATAGGGAAAATATTGTTTGTCGTTATTGTCAATAGTTAAGTCTTTGTTGTGACTGATTTTCCATATTTTGGTTTCATTTAATGATGTTTAATTGAAAAAAAACACTACTTGGTCACAATTTTGATCACCACTTGAGCACAACGATAATTTTAAAAATTAAATTAAAAAAAATAAAGAGTGTTTTAAGACTAAGAAAGCCGTCAAACAAAGCAATTCCCCGTCAGCATCGTTTAAATTTTCGCTTTCAAAAACGGCAAAAATATAAAATTAAATAAATAGTAAATACCGATAAATGCCGATTTTTTTTATACCTTTGATACCGATAAGCATTAAAACAATCTGGCAACACTGACCATGATTTCCACCGGGCTGAAAATGACAGATCCCCCTACAATCG